ATTTATACCCTACCCAAAGAGGCCCAGGACAGCAAACAACAAGCAGTGAAACAAAAGCAGCAACAAAAGTCTTAAAAGCAATTCCAATACAGGTGCAGAATGGGACTAGGTGAATCAATGGATCGCAATGGCAAGGTAGCAGATACTGGTTAAACATTAGGAGTAGTTAAGAGATGCTTTACAACAGAACAAATGCCCTTGGGTGTGTTGGGGGGGGTCTCCTTTCAAGCAGAGGCTGGCTCTGCAATTGCATCCTGCGTTGAGCTGGGGGTGGGGGCTGTCCTGGATGATCTTCAACATGCCATTCAACTGTACGATTCTATGGAAGATCTGAGACACTGGGCTGGTTTCACAGAACGCGGGAAGCCAAACTACGATTTCTCCAGAGGGGAGATTGCAGCCACGCTCCTCCACTTCTTAAAGTTAGCCAGTTGGGACTGTTCACCTTGGGAAAGGTTTCCCCCCTTCTTTTCCCTTTTAAAAATAATGTTCATTTCACTTGATTCACTCTCCCCCCTCCAAAAACACCTCCTTCCCCACTGTGACACACTTCCTGTCTGCATGCCTGAAGCTGATGTAAAATAACAAACCACAAATTTGTGAACCATGGAGTGGATTGCATGGAAAAAATGACGATTCTGGTTGACTTCATGTGGAGCAGTGGTGAGAGTCGGCCTGACAGGCCTTCTGGAAATTGCTGGCCACTTCCCTCACTATTAAGTGGAAAAAGCAGAGAGAGTGAACGAGAGGAGGGGAGAGAGAGACAGACGGACGGACAGACAGAGGACCACACTGCAAAGATCCATCCTGTATTATCAGCTAAAAGATCTACTTCGAAGTAAGTCCTTCAGGGTCCAATGGAACCTACTCCCATGTCAGCGTACAGGATTGCAGCTGAAAAGCATTCTAGTGGGTTATCGTTATTCCAAATGTTGCTGCCTCTTGGTAATCCACCGTTCCCGTGATCTAATTATATTCTGAAGCAAAGATCTGATTAATATGAAGATCTGATTAATATTAATATGAAGAAGATATGGCAAGTGCAGGATGCGGGTGGCGCTGTGGGTTAAACCATATTAATCAGCCTAGGACTTGCCGATCAGGAGGTCGGCGGTTTGAATCCCCGCAACGGGGTGAGCTCCCATTGCTCGGTCCCTGCTCCTGCCCACCTAGCAGTTCGAAAGCACGCCAAAGTGCAAATAGATAAATAGATAAATACCTCCAGAGGGAAGGTAAACGGCGTTTCCGTGTGTTGCTCTGGTTCGCCAGAAGTGGCTTAGTGATGCTGGCCACATGACCCAGAAGCTGTACACTGGCTCCCTCAGCCAGTAAAGCGAGATGAGCGCCGCAACCCCAGAGTCGGTCACGACTGGACCTAATAGTCAGGGGTCCCTTTACCATTGGCAAGTGTGTTTTGGGGACAGATAACTTCCTTTCCTTTTACAGCTTTCTGTTGGCTCAAACTTGTTCGTTCGGCAGCACAGATATACGTAGAACTGGGGATATGGTGATTTGCAGATTCACGAGCTTTGATGTGGACACAGAAGTCCCCTTGCTCAAGTGGATTCGCTGCTAACTTCAATGGTGCTAATGTCTGTGCAAGTGCAAAGGGATGTGTTGAGCTAACAACCTCTACTCCCCCTGAAAAAGGCACAGAGGATCTTTAGGGGATTGTCTGAAGCTGTTTTTCAGACACAACTGAATGAGACTAGTCCTCATGATTGCTAATGATAGCTTTGCCCCAAATTTCGAAAACTTCATTTATCCAATCCAATCCAAATAATTTTATTGTGCTAGCCACTGGCCATGACAAATCTGAATCAAAAATTAACACAAGCAGTAGGGGTGTCGTGCCACAAATAATAGTCTCTATTTAGATCTCTGCGTCTCCCTTACAGTTCACTGCTATATTGCCCAGGGTCTTCTTTCTGAACTTCCTGGCTGCCAAAGCAAAAAGGGTGACTTTATGAGTCACTGAAGTGATTACATTGCTAAGAAGCCATTGGACATTCTCTGCTGGGGAGACACATCTTTCCTTTACAGACGGTAAGGTGAGAAATCGCCTTCTGGGTCCAATGTATAGTGGGCAATGTAGTAAATAGTGCAATATGTCTTCCGGCTGTGATTACCCACATATGCAGAGCCTGTCCTCTAAAGATTCCATCAATGGTGTCTCTGAAATTTTTTTACACATCACTTGGGAAGACTGGCGAACTAATGCCAGTGTACTGTCTCCAGGGCCAGATGTCTCCAGTGTCTCCAGGGCCAGATGAACTGCATCCAAGAGTATTAAAAGAACTGGCAGATGTGATTTCAGAACCACTGGCAGTCATCTTTGAGAATTCCTGGAGAACAGGCGAAGTCCCGGCAGACTGGAGGAGGGCAAATGTTGTCCCTATTTTCAAAAAGGGGAAAAGAGAGGACCCAAATAATTACCGCCCAGTCAGTCTGACATCAATACCAGGGAAGATTCTGGAGCAGATCATTAAGCAAACAGTCTGTGAGCACCTAGAAAGGAATGCTGTGATCACCAATAGTCAGCATGGATTTCTGAAAAATAAGTCATGTCAGACTAACCTGATCTCGTTTTTTGACAGAATTACAAGCCTGGTAGATGAAGGGAACGCAGTGGATGTAGTCTACCTTGATTTCAGCAAGGCATTTGACAAGGTGCCCCATGATATTCTTGTAAAGAAGCTGGTAAAATGCGGTCTTGACTATGCTACCACTCAGTGGATTTGTAACTGGCTGACTGACCGAACCCAAAGGGTGCTCATCAATGGTTCCTCTTCATCCTGGAGAAGAGTGACTAGTGGGGTGCCACAGGGTTCTGTCTTGGGCCCGGTCTTATTCAACATCTTTATCAACGATTTGGATGATGGACTCAAGGGCATCCTGATCAAATTTGCAGATGACACCAAACTGGGAGGGGTGGCTAACACCCCAGAGGACAGGATCACACTTCAAAACGACCTTGACAGATTAGAGAACTGGGCCAAAACAAACAAGATGAATTTTAACAGGGAGAAATGTAAAGTATTGCACTTGGGCAAAAAAAATGAGAGGCACAAATACAAGATGGGTGACACCTGGCTTGAGAGCAGTACATGTGAAAAGGATCTAGGAGTCTTGGTTGACCACAAACTTGACATGAGCCAACAGTGTGACGCGGCAGCTAAAAAAGCCAATGCAATTCTGGGCCTCATCAATAGGAGTATAGCATCTAGATCAAGGGAAGTAATAGTGCCACTGTATTCTGCTCTGGTCAGACCTCACCTGGAGTACTGTGTCCAGTTCTGGGCACCACAGTTCAAGAAGGACACTGACAAACTGGAACGTGTCCAGAGGAGGGCAACCAAAATGGTCAAAGGCCTGGAAATGATGCCTTATGAGGAACGGCTAAGGGAGCTGGGCATGTTTAGCCTGGAGAAGAGGAGGTTAAGGGGTGATATGATAGCCATGTTCAAATATATAAAAGGATGTCACATAGAGGAGGGAGAAAGGCTGTTTTCTGCTGCTCCAGAGAAGCGGACACGGAGCAATGGATCCAAACTACAAGAAAGAAGATTCCACCTAAACATTAGGAAGAACTTCCTGACAGTAAGAGCTGTTCGACAGTGGAATTTGCTGCCAAGGAGTGTGGTGGAGTCTCCTTCTTTGGAGGTCTTTAAGCAGAGGCTTGACAACCATATGTCAGGAGTGCTCTGATGGTGTTTCCTGCTTGGCAGGGGGTTGGACTCGATGGCCCTTGTGGTCTCTTCCAACTCTATGATTCTATGATTCTATGATTCTACTGGAAGAAGCAAAGATCACCAGTGTCAAAGCGATGATTCTTCAACATCAACTTTATTGGACTAGTCACGTTGTGCAGATGTTTGATTTTTGTCTTCCAAAGCAACTACTCTATACTGAACTTAAAATTATGAAGCGTAATGCTGGTGGTCAACAAAAGAGGTTCAAAGACTCTCTCAAGGCAAATCTTAAAAAATGTAGTATAAACACCAACAACTGGGAAACACTGGCCTGCAAGCACTCCAATTGGAGAACAGCCTTGACCAAAGGTGTGATGGGCTTTGAAGATGCTTGAACTCAGGATGAAAGGGAGAAATGTGCTAAGAGGAAGGCACATTTGGCAAACCCTCACCAACTCCCGCCTGGAAACCTATGTCCCCACTGTGGAAGGACGTGTGAATCCAGAATTGGCCTCCACAGTCACTTACAGACTCACTGTTAAAACCATGTTCATGGAAGACAATCTTACTCAGCTACGAGTGATCGACAAAGACGAAGATACAGAGCCTGTCTTTGTGTGGTACCCTGTTATATTGTCCATCTAGGACAGTGGAGGGCATAGCATGAAAACGCAGCTCAGTAAGAGCAAATCTTAGTGAGGCTGTTCAGAGATTCAACAGGTAAAGGTAAAGGGCCCCCTGACCATTAGGTCCAGTCGTGGCCGACTCTGGGGTTGCGGCGCTCATCTCGCTTTATTGGCCAAGGGAGCCGACGTACAGCTTCCAGGTCATGTGGCCAGCATGACTAAGCCGCTTCTGGTGAACCAGAGCAGCTCACGGAAACGCCGTTTACCTTCCCACTGGAGCGGTGCCTATTTATCTGCTTGCACTTTGATGTGCTTTCGAACTGCTAGGTGGGCAGGAGCAGGGACTGAGCAACGGGAGTTCACCGTCGCGGGGATTCGAACTGCCGACCTTCTGATCGGCAAGTCCTAGGCTCTGTGGTTTAACCCACAGCGCCACCCGCATCCCTTAAATTCAACAGGTAACTGGCTCTAAAATGGACTGTTTTTAGAAGGGGGGCATTTATCCAGAGACTATGACTGAATGCAAGGACAGTACCCTATTCCCCTGCCCCCAGCCAATGATATGCCTTAAGCAGAGAGGAAGAGTGGGTATGTTGCACAAGCCACAAGCCCTGAATGGTTTAGGAAAAGAAGCCACCCAGAAGACCAAGGCACGGGAAAGGCAAAGAATAAAAACCAAAAGTTAGCACAATCCGTTTTATTACAAACTTCTAAAAGAACATTATTGTTTGACATCTGTTACAAACTGCTGAGGATTTGCATCTTCAATCTGTCATCTCTACTTACAGTTCTCTGCGTAATCAAATTTACCTTGTGACTTAACACAGAAAGCAAGCAGGGCAGGATTGCAACGCCGTATGCTTGTAAACATAATCAGCTTTAATATACACTCCAGGTATCGATTCGTGGTAGTAAAAATTGTGATCCGGTGGTAGCTTATGTGACCAGCTAGCATTAAGAAGCGGCGAAGCGGGAATAGCAATCCACTTCAGAAAAGCCATTAACTAGAAAGCAAAGATACAAAAACATCTCCAGATTGCTGAAACATGATCAGGTGGAGATGAAGATTGTAGCTATGGCCATTAGCGGGATAAAAACCTTGACCTAATTAGACTCCGTTTATGCCTTGGTTGGAAAGGCAATGAAACTGAAGGTTTGGGTCTGGGAGGAAAATGCATCCATTCTTTGCTAGGAGCAAGAATTGCTTCTGCTTCCGTTGACAGAAGACCATTTCAGATTAGAACCATGACCACTGTGCTGGATTGCCCTGAAGCAACGCTGTCTGAATTGGGCTACAGATTTGAGCTAGTTTAGTTGCCACGGCGTTTCTCAAGGACCCTGGGAACCTTTGCCTCAGGATCATACCGAGATCCCTGCTACCTTAAAGAGTGATGGTTCTCTAGGGTCCCTCAGTGTGTGGAAACCATGGCAGGGGAAGTGATTTAGGATTATAGGTGTTGACTTAAGAACCCTCCGTACGTCTGTCTGCTTTTGCCTTTGCCTGAGCAGGCAGGCTGAGTCTTTCCTTCTGGCCAGCTTCCCCAAGTGAAAATACACTGCCCAACCGCTCGGGCGAAGGCAATTTGAGCAGCTGATACATCACAGCTGCTGGGGAGCTCAAAAAGTCTGAAACCTTTATTGAGATGTGAGCACCATATTGGTTTCAGGCAGTAATTCGGAGTACAGTGGTACCTTGGTTCCCAAATGGCTTAGTCGCTGAGCAAATCGGCTCCTGAACGCCGCAAACCCAGTAGTAAGTGTTCTGGTTTGCGAATGTTTTTTGGAAGCCGAACGTCCAACACAGCTTCTGCTTGAGTGCAGGAAGCTCCTGCAGCCAATCAGAAACCGTGCCTTGGTTTACGAATGGTTTTGAGAGTCGAACAGACTCCTGGAATGAATTAAGTTCGAGAACCAAGGTACCACCATATTGTGCAGCCCTGCTACCCACTAAGACTCTGGATCACCCCCTAGCAAAATGGCTAATCATGATGAAAATCTCCATCCGAAGATTGCAGGGCGGTGTACAATATAAGAACAGAAAAATAGGTAGCATAACAAAAAACAAAAACAATAACCCCTCCCTCCCCACAGTTTAATAGGCCATAGATTGTTTAATTTGCCAAAGAGGAATGTCTAGTCTGGGCTATCCTGTCCAAATCATTCAAGAAGCATGCCGCTGAGTCATTAAGCCGATACTCTCTTGATCTGTTGAAACAAGCTTGAACACCCCTGTGTTTCCATCGTCTCTTGATAACTCCAGCAGATTCTGCCATCTTAAAGCCTTCCTCTGCTGATCCAGCTGGAACAAAAAGTGGACGAGCGTCATCCGCTCTGGCAGAATCCCCAAAATCTGCCAAAAACCACTGTCGCTGAGGGCTGGGTCACACCATCGGGGCGGAGGGCAGATTTCGCGCAAGCCACTACTTTGCCCGTGATTGTATTGCTTTATTTTTCTCCATTAATGGCAACCATCTACACATATAGGAGCAAAAAAACTACTGGTGGAATGTTGGGGATTGCCTTTTATATGTACAGGCTACAGATATACAAAGGACCAATAGCATTAGATGGAGAAGCAGGTGTGAATTGCCGTTGTTTTCTTTAAAACCCAGATGTGCTTGCAATACTTGCTGCAAATCATCACAGGTGCTTGATCTGTGCGGCTGGGTTTATCTATACGCTAGAGAAAGTCTGTTGACACAGGCAGTGCCTTATTTAGCCGGCAAACCACACAAGCGAGAGGAACGTTGATAAATTGTTTCAGACGGAACTAGTTCATGGGAGCTAGACTATTGGAAGTGGGTCATCTCTTGACAATTGGGATGATACCACCATTTGCATCTGTTTTTTGCCAGCTGATGTTCTCAGCCTTTGGGATCCGGAAGCTCTCTGAAGCTCTCTTCCTCCTCCTCGTTCTCTTCGGACCGTGGCAAGGCCAGTACGTGGGTGACAGGATGGATCCAGGACGTTGTCTGAGTCACATGGCTGGAGGGGAGCAAAATAAAATAAAATAGAAAGAATGAATGAACAACAACAACAACAACAACAGTGGTACCTCAGGTTAAGTACTTAATCATTCCGGAGGTCTGTACTTAACCTGAAAACTGTTCTTAACCTGAAGCAGCACTTTAGCTAATGGGGCCTCCTGCTGCCGCCGCGCCACCGGAACACAATTTCTGTTCTCATCCTGAAGCAAAGTTCTTAACCTGAAGCACTATTTCTGGGTTAGCGGAGTCTGTAACCTGAAGCGTATGTAAACGGAAGCGTATGTAACCTGAGGTACCACTGTATTTGTATCCCGCTCATCTGGATGGGTTTCCCCAGAGGCTTCCGGCACATATAAAAACATAATGCTAAGCATTAAAAATTTCCTAATACAGGGTTGCCTTCAGATGTCTTCTAAAAGTTGTGTAGTTCTTTATTTCCTTGACATCTGATCAGAGTTTGTCCCACAAGGCGGTGCTACTGCTGATAATGCCCTCTACCTGGCTCCCTGTAACCTCACTTCTCGCAGTGAGGGAACCGCCAGAAGACCCTCAGAGGAGGACCTCAGTGTCCTGGCTGAATGATGGGGATGGAGATGCTCCTTTAGGTATACCAGGGCCCAGGCCGTTTAGGATTTTTTATAGTCAGAACCGATACTTTGAATTGTGCTCGGAAACGTACTGCTTACCAAGCACTCAGAAACTTAAAAGCTTACCAGCTAAAGACCTTTCCTGACAATAAAGCAAATCATGCTTCCCTATAAATGGTGGCTTCTTCCACCAGCCCCCCTCAAAGGAGAAGGGAGAGCCACTTGTAAAGGGTGTCCTGGAAGTTACGAAGACTCAAGGGAGCTATCAGTAGGGTGGCCCTGCTTATAGGTAAAGGTAAAGGGACCCCTGAGCATTAGGTCCAGTCGTGACCGACTCTGGGGTGGCGGTGCTCATCTCGCTTCATTGGCCGAGGGAGCCGGCGTACAGCTTCCGGGTCATGTGGCCAGCATGACTACATCGCTTCTGGCAAACCAGAGCAGAGCAAGGAAACGCCATTTACCTTCCCGTCGGAGGGGTACCTATTTATCTGCTTGCACTTTGACGTGCTTTCGAACTGCTAGGTTGGCAGGAGCAGGGACCGAGCAACGGGAGCTCACCCCGTCGCGGGGATTCGAACTGCCGACCTTCTGATCGGCAAGCCCTAGGCTCTGTGGTTTAACCCACAGCGCCACCTGTGTCCCTGGCCCTGCTTATATGCATCAGCAAAAGAGGAACGCAAAATCTGCGGACAGAGGTGAATGCAGGGGGTGGGGAGGCTATAATTTCAACAAATATAATTCACCTCTCTGATCTGTTGCCCAGGTGCTAACTGTTGATGGGAATTTCCTGGGGCTCTTCCTTCTTATGGTTCTTGACCTTGGGCGGGGACAACCTCCAGGAAGAGGACACCTCCAGTAACAGGCTGTCCTCTGGGAAAGGTAAGGTAAAGGTAAAGGACCCCTGCATGGTTAAGTCCAGGCAAAGGCGACTGTTGGGTGCGGTGCTCATCTCACTTTCAGGTTGAGGGAGCCGACATTTGTCCGCAGACAGCTTTCCGGCTCATGTGGCCAGCATGATTAAACTGGTTCTGGTGCAACAGGACACCGTTGACAGAAACCAGAGTGCACGGAAACACCATTTACCTTTCCGCCGCAGCGGTACCTGTTTATCTACTTGCACTGGTGTGCTTTTGAACTGCTGGTTTGCAGGAGCTGGGACAGAGCAATGGGAACTCACTCCGTCACGGGGATTCAAACCACCAACCTTCCAATCAGCAAGCCCAAGAGGCTCAGTGGTTTAGACCACTGCGCCACCTGCGTCCCTGGAAAGTAGGACATATGGCTACCCTAACCATCACATACCCTAGTGGCTTCATTTGCTGTTCTCCTGTTGTTGTTTTAAAATGTAAATTTGCAATTTATTTCCCTCCTAGTATCCAGAATACGGGACGCGGGTGGCGCTGTGGGTAAAAGCCTCAGCGCCTAGGGCTTGCCGATCGAAAGGTCGGCGGTTCGAATCCCCGCGGCGGGGTGCGCTCCCGTTGCTCGGTCCCAGCGCCTGCCAACCTAGCAGTTCGAAAGCACTCCCAGGTGCAAGTAGATAAATAGGGACCGCTTACTAGCGGGAAGGTAAACGGCGTTTCCGTGTGTGGCTCTGGCTCGCCAGAGCAGCGATGTCACGCTGGCCACGTGACCCGGATGTGTCTCCGGACAGCGTTGGCCCCCGGCCTCTTGAGTGAGATGGGCGCACAACCCTAGAGTCTGTCAAGACTGGCCCGTACGGGCAGGGGTACCTTTATCTTTACCTTTATCCAGAATAGCTCATCAATAAACAAATGAACAAAATGATGCTGATGCAGAAGGAAAAGGATAAGGAGGTCGGATTGCACCAAAGGAAACCCAGAAGTCCTATTAAGGTTAACAGCATGCTACTGGCTTTGTCAACACCTTCATTTGGATTTTTAAAAGAAGTTTTACTTAACAATCTGATGAAATAAGGACATCGGAAAGATGCTGTCCGAAATGATGCTCACATATTTACAAACTGGCTCTGAAGCTGAATGATGCCATCCTTCCCCCTTTTTCTTTTCTTTTTGTTTGTTGGCTTGACAAAGTAATAATAATACATAAATGAGAATCAAAATCTGCACCCCACCACCAAGACCATTCCATTGTAACTATCCAACCTCCCAAAATTTCAACACCTCTTGCAATGGTTTGACCCTTTTCCGTTTTAACAGTACAAATTCTACAAACACTTTCCATATCTCCTCAAAATCATTTCTCCTGCATATTCCCCTTCTTACCTTAATGACACATTTATCATTAATAGCTATATCCCACACCTCTTTATACCACTCTTCCATTTTATATTCTGCTTGCCCCTTCCACTTCCTAGCTATGATAATTCCTGCAGCTGTCAATAAATTTGTGAGCAAGTCTTTCAGAGCCAGTGTGGTGTAGTGGTTAAGAGCGGTAGTCACGTAATCTGGGGAACCGGGTTCGCGTCTCCGCTCCTCCACATGCAGCTGCTGGGTGACCTTGGGCCAGTCACACTTCTTTGAAGTCTCTCAGCCCCACTCACCTCACAGAGTGTTTGTTGTGGGGGAGGAAGGGAAAGGAGAATGTGAGCCGCTTTGAGACTCCTGAAGGGGAGTGAAAGGCGGGATATCAAATCCAAACTCTTCTTCTTCTCTTCTTTCAAAGCCTGATAACCTTCCAGCCGGTCGTAAATCGATAATAATGCTACCTCTGGACGTTTGGTCAGCTTGCTATCCCTCCCTTTTGCCTTTCCTGGCTCTGCCCCACTGCTAGAGTTCCCATAAGTCTGCCTCCATCGCTTCGTAAATAGGGGTGGGAGCCATCAACTCCACAGAGGGGTCTCAATGCCATTCCCTTTTATTACCCTAAATAAAATGGAGAGGGTTGGGGAACGCGCTCCAGCCAAGAGGTTGAGTAAAAAGTAGGTGATTCTTCCACCTGTAACCACCTTAGGCGTCCTCTGAAAAGCTGCCTATTTTCCTCAGGGTGCTTGCCCGAAACATTCATTTCCATTTTATTTCAGCTTAATGCCAGTGACCTGCTTTTCTTTCCAACAGGAAGTCCAAAGTCAGTTAACAATAACATACCACAACGAAGGCAATAACAGCGAAGGAAACAACCAACAAACCAATAGGAAAGACGGTTTAACAATCAAAATGCCACAATAGCCTCTCAGTAATGTTTCCACCTACTGCATAAGGCAGGCCAGAAGAAATACACTTAATAAACCTGTTGGAACACCCATAAACAGCCAAGTCAATAAATTCAAACCGTTTCAATGAATAACAAGGGAAGTAATAAATCGCAGCACATGTTTTACTCAGAAATATCCTTTTCTTCCCCCCTCAATATAATTTTTTATTGAATTTCCAAAAAATATATATATTCAAATTAAATGGTTACATTTTTCATGTATTGACTCCCCACCCCCTCTGTGTTTCGTTCAAACCTTTTCTCCTGCATTATATATCCAACTCTTGTCTATTGCAGAAATCCCTCTAAAGCAGTTACCGTATTTTTTGCTCTATAAGACTCACTTTTCCCCTCCTAAAAAGTAAGGGGAAATGTGTGTGTGCATCTTATGGAGCGAATGCAGGCTGCGCAGATATCGTAGATGCTTTCACTGCGCAGCGATCCCTCTTGCTGTTCTGGCTTCTGAGATTCAGATTCCCCCCCCCTTGTTTTCCTCCTCCAAAAACTAGGTGGGTCTTGTGGTCTGGTGCGTCTTATAGAGCGAAAAATACGGCACTTGATCATTTTTCTTCCGCTGCCCCTTTCTCGAATCCTGCCCGCAATCTCGTTTGCCTGTAGTGCTTTCCCAAATAGTCCAGAAAAGGCCTCCATACTTCTATAAAAAGTTCATCTTTCTGACATCTTAATATTGCTGCCAGCTTTGACATTTCCGCATGGTCCATTACTTTTTAAAGCGATGCCTCCTTCATTGGAAGAAACGTCCTTTTCTGGAAACCTCCAGCCCAGCAGCCAATGTGCCAGAACTTTTAAGAAATGCCTCTGTCCATTAGTGGTGGTGGAAGGGGAGGGGGGGTGATGGTTGTAAATTGCCTCTAGACTAGTATCATCCTTAACCATTGGTCATGCTGGCTAGGCTGGATGGATGCTGGAAGTCCACTGCATCTGGGAGGCATCAGAAAGTGAAAGGTAACTCTAGCACAGAAGTGGAAAATACTTTTTGGCCCGAAAGCTCAACTGCCGAATGTGGAATTTTCAGGAACAGAGACCATATTTAATAATAATAATAATAATAATAATAATAATAATAATAATAATAATAATAATAGGATGTTATTTATATCCCGCCCTCCACAGCCAAAGCCGGGCTTAGAGCGGCTAACAACAGTATAAATAACACAGTTTACATAAAATCACAATCAATTCAGAGTCAAATTAATGGCAACCATTGGGTTAGCGT